GTTGCTGCATAGGAAGGCTCCACCCAAGGCCCCAGTGGTCACGTTCGCATGCGTTTCCCTTTTTCATGTCGGCACAACCCTGCACCACCGAAAGCCCCAGTGGCGACGTCCGCATGCGTCCCCCTTGCCCATCTCGACACACCTATCACACGTTTCGTGGCCCTACGGGGATTTTTATTCAACGCCCCAATGAACGCGCCCGCATGGTACAACAGCGCCCGTTTTGGCACGCTCTTTACACGTTTCGTGCCCCCATAAGGAGCTCCACCGAAGACCCCACTGGCGACGTTCGCATGCGTCCTTCCCGCTTATGGTGGCACACCCATCGCATGTATCGTGGCCCCATATGGGACACCACCTGATGCCCCAATGTCACAGTTCGCAGTTACGGCACGGCCTTCGCGCGCTTCGTGGCGCCAGGAAAAATTCCTCCAACGACAAGTCATTCAACCACGGTATTCGCAACTGCGTATGGTCGGGCCTTTCGCCACGATTTGATTTCCCCCCCCCCCAGGGCGAAGCATTATCTGGGAATGCTTTGAGAATTTTCGGTTTTGGCGTGATTTCGAAATGCGCGCGCGTGGCGGCGCGCGCGCGTGTGGTCCACATGGTCTTATTTGGTATGGATTCGTGAAGTGAGTGCATGATCGATCACCGCGGGTGCACCGCGTGGTGAGATGAGAATGCGGGTTTTGGACTAGATCGCTAAGACCATATGGTATTCCTGTGACTTCAACAAATGCGTGCGGGCACCGATTCTGCAACATTCGTGATGACACGTCGGGTTGTTTCCGATTGTTCTAACTTGAAATGCTTGCAGCACTGGCGTTTTTGGTGCGATTTCGATCTGTGCGCGTGCGCGTGCATTTTTTTTTGCAATGGGATTCTTGAGCCATGATTGCCTGCGATCAGCGAGTGTGCGCGCATAGTTATGGTTGACAGAAATGGGGGGGAGAGGCGTTACCGGCCGGCCTTGGATGGTAGAAGTCCATTGAGCGATGAGGCAGTATTATATAGTTTGTATTATTTTCGGGGGGGTCGATCAGTCCAGGCCTGGGAGGGGGTGTCACGTATCTTCCATTTTCGAAACGGGAATTACTCGTTCAAGATATGGCATTTGACATCTCTTATGTTCGAGTAAATATATCCCACTCACCCACCCGCAACTTGTTGGCATAGCTCGACTGGCGCAATGACGGGAGGACCCTTCTCATGCATTTCCATATTTCGGGTGTGCGAATGATGATGGTGACGACGACACCGACTACGGCGACGATGATGGTGACACCAATGGCTATGCTGAAGACAGCGACGACGACGACCGTGACGATGGCGATTGCGATGAAGATGGCGATGATGATTCAGTTGATGATACTGGTAGCGGTGGTGATGACAACGGCGATGGTGAGGGTGATGCAGGTTCTGATGACATCGCATCCCGACGGCAATGCGGACGCGGGCGATGATGAAAATGACGATGATGATGATGATGCTGATGATGATGCTTATTATCTTTATTCCTATTGTTGTGATGGTGATGGAGCTGGTGATGCTCATGATGATGATTCTGCTGATGATGATGATGATGACGATGCTGATTATGATGACGACTGTGACGATGATGATGTTGATGATGATGGTGATAATGACGATGGGCATGATGATGATGATGATGATGATGGAGGTGATATTGATGACGACTGTGATGATGATGACGATGATTGTGGTGATGATTGTGGTGATGATGATGCTGATGATGATGCTGCTGATGATGATAATGATGATGGTGGTGGTGATGGTGGTGGCGATGGCGATGGCGATGATGCTGATGATGATGACGCTGATGATGATGGTGATGATGGTGATGATGATGATAATGATGATGATGCTGATGCTGATGTTGATGCTGATGATGATGATGCTGATGATGATGATGCTGATGATGATGATGATGATGATGCTGATGATGCTGATGATGATGATGATGATGATGTGGATGATGATGATGATGATGATGATGATGATGATGATGATGATGATGATGATGATGATGATGATGATGATGATGATGATGGTGATGGTGGTGGTGGTGGTGGTGGTGGTGATGATGATGATGATGATGATGATGATGATGATGTTGATGTTGATGACCGAGCTGATGGTGAATAGCGCGCGTTGACTATGTGACATCTTCTGGTTCAACATCCACTGTCTGTCCACATGGTTTTATACCTCTATCTTGAAATGCTTAAGTCACGGATGGTTGAGTAATCATTTTGACATGCGCGCGCGCGTTTGTCCCGCGGCGTATTTTTCGGGCGAGTTGGCGTGTGGGCGATGGTTGTTGAATGTTTTCGACATGCGAACGCGTGCGGCACGCATGGTTCTCTGATGATTCCGGCGAGTGCGCGCGCACGGGAATTCGGCATTCTCAGAATCAACGGTATCCGGTAACAGTTGTTGACAGGTTTTCGGAAATGCATGGTTCTGGGCGGGACTCGGCATGTGTGTGGCATGCGCTGCCCGCCCCGCCGCGGCCTTGCCCTGCTCTGCGCGGGCCGGGCCTCCTCTGCCTCCTGCGTGCCCTGCGGCTGGTTTCGCGTTTCGTGTGCCACGCTAGCGCCACCTCGCCGGAGCAGTCCCTCTGCCGAGCCGCCGACGGAACGCGTGTGTGGCGTGCGCGGGTGGCCCGCGTGGTATGCATAGAGAGGCCCTACGGCCAGTTCCCCGCGGACCCCGAAAGGCGACCCGGGAGGCCCCAGAAAAAGGCCGCGAAGGGAGCCGAGGAGCGCACGTGGGCAGGCTGGGGCCGTCGTGGAAACCGTCTAGGGCGTCTCGGAGGTCTCCCAGAGTGGGAGGTCTCTTGGAGGCCTCTTGGGCCGTGAGGGGGCCATCGGAGGCCTCTTGGGCGCTCTTGGGGCCATCTTGGTGGCCTGTGGGGCCATCTTGGGCCGTCCGAGAGCCGAAAACAAACAAACGCCGAAGTCTTTGAAAAAGCCAAAATACAATCGGGGAGTTTCGCCTCTTCGGGCATTCTGGAGGTTGTCTTGGATTCGTCTTGGGCCGTCCTGGAGGCCTGCTGGGCCGTCTGGGGCGATCTTGAGGCCATCCTGGGCCATCTTGGGGGCATCGGGGGCCCGTCTTGGAGACAGACTGGGGCCCTTTTGGGGCCCTCGTGCCGCCGCCTTGCCCGTCTTGGAGACCACCGTGGCCGTCTTGGAGGCCGTCTTGGGGGTCGCCCCGAGCGGGACGGCCGGCGGCCTCGACGGTTGTTTTCGGCTCCCGATGGAGCGGGAGAGGACCAGTTGCAGAGCGCTCCTATACCAGGGGGCCAGCGCGATCGGCCGAGGGAGCCCACCGGCAAGCGTAGGTCGGGCCCGTCCCTCTACAGGGGGAGATGCAAAAGTAGTATCGGGGGCGGAAAAGAGGGGGGTGATGACTAGGGGGGGGGGTGGATATCATGGCGGGGGCCACGATATTTCCCCAGATCTCGTGGCGCCTTTTCTTGTTTCATTACGTCCCTGGCCCCCCCGCTGGGCCGCGCACATGCCGCCGGTCATGATTTGCACCCCCCCCTCTTGGACACCCCCTTCTTGGCCGCTCCCGATAGTAAAAAAATAGTCCGAACCAGATCTTTGGAGTTCTCTTAAACACTTAGGAGTCGGCCTTTGGGTACCTCTGATTTTTCGTTCAAAATCCCCCTGTAGGGGGACAGGCCCGACCTAATGGTGATCTGCAGAAAGAATGGAAGCAACCCGACGTCCAGCACGCCGTGCACAACCGTGGCAAGCCGCAGAGGGCGGCAGAGTGAAGACGCCTGCGGCGAATCACCGCCGCCCCCCTGCCGGTTGCAAGAGAAGAGGTCCGAGGTGGGGCGGGTGTCGCGCCAGGTAGGGTGTCGGGGCCAGTTTCGGGCTGGAAACGTCACGCCACTCGCAGCAGGACAGCACGATAAACTGCCATCATGATCATCATCACCATCATCCTCACCATCATCATGACCACCATCGCCATCACCATCACCATCACCATCACAATCACCATCATCATCACCATCATCACCATCACCATCATCATCATCATCGTCATCATCACCATCATCATCGTACTTATGCTAATCATCATCGTCACTGCCATTATCACAATCATCATCATCACAACCACTCCCTCGCCGCCGCCGTCGTCGTCGTCGTCATCGTCGTCGCCATCACCACCATCATCATCATCATCACCATCATCATCACCGTCACCATCACCATCACCATCACCATCACCATCATCATCATCGTCGTCGTCGTCATCGTCGTCTTCATTGTCATTGTCATCGTCAGCGTCATCGTCCTCCATCTCTTCGTTGTCGTCGGCGTTGTCGTCACCATCATCATCACCCCCACCATCATCAGCATCATCATCATCATCATCGTCAGCATCATCACCACCGTTATCATCACCATCATTAACATCATCATCACCATACTCCTCCTCCTCATCCTCAGCATCAGCATCAGCATCAGCATCAGCATCAGCATCAGCATCGGTATCACCATCACCATCATTACCGTCATCATTGTTAATCATCATCATCATCATCATCATCATCATCATCATCATCATCATCATCATCATCATCGCCGTCGCCATCGTCATTGTCATCGCCATCACCACTATCACCAACATCATCACCATCGTCACCATCCTCATCATCAACATCAGCATCAGCATCATCATCATCATCACCATCCTCGCCCTCATCCTCAGCATCGCCATCATCATCATCATCAGCATCATCATCATCATAATCAGCAGCAGCAGCATCATCATCATCATCATCACATTCGCATCACCATTATTATTGTCATCACTATTTTCATCATCACCACCATCATCATGCTGCTGCCGCTCTGGCAGGACATCTGAGGCGCATGGCATGCTCGCAGCCGATTTGCTCGTGCCCAGTCTTACTGCGGGCGGTGGCCGGGCGCGCGAAGGCGCCCCCAGAGGCCGCTGCCGGCAATGTTGATGTGGCTGCTGCCGATAGGGCCCTTGGGGGAGGGGTCTCGGACGGGGCCAGGACGAGGATAAATCCGTTCCAGAGCGTTCCGCTCTCGGAGCGTCCTGGAACGCTCTGAGAAGGCCGCGGCGCTCGAGACATCCTCCAGAGCCACCAGGTCTCAGAGATTCTCTGTTTACCCTCGCCCGGTTTCATCCTCGTCCTGGCTTCGTCTTATGGTCGGGGTTGGGAGTGGGGAGGGGCAGCGTTAGGGGCGGACAGGTCCAAGGTTAAGTCGGGCCTGTCCTTGTACAGGAGGAATGTTCAAAAATGGTAATAACAAAAACAGTGTGGGGATCATTCTTTGAGCACTTTTTGCCATTCGGGGGTATTTTTTTGGGGGGGTATGTTTGATTTTTTTGTCCAAAGTCCCCCCTGTAGGGGGACATGCCCGACCTAAGCCCAAGGGGGGCACGAACTTTCGAGGTTCGAGGAGCCGTTGGAAAGCACCCCCGATTTTATCCTCGCCCTGGCTTCGCCTTATGGTCGGGGTTGGGAGGGGGGAGGGGCAGCGTTCGGGGCGGACAAGCGCACGAACTTTCGAGGCTCGAGGTTGCAGGTCTGCAGGCGTCTTCGCCCGTCCTGCACGGCCTTTTTGTTGGGCCTCGAGCTGCCCTCCAGCGGCTGGCGCCTCGCCGGCTTAGGCTTCCTGAGGGCGAGGGGCCGCCGGAGGCCCCGGCTCTGCCCCGGCTCGGGGCCCCAAGGGGCCCAAGAGAGAAGTCGGGCCCGCACCCGGGTTCGGAGGGCACCAACTATACACCAACACCGATCCTGGCCCAGGATCACCCTGGGCCCAGGATCGGTGTATATGCCTTCTTGCGCAAGGCAGGAGAGCGTATACACCGATCCTGGGCCCAGGGTGATCCTGGGCCAGGATCGGTGTTGGTGTATAGTTGGTGCCTTCCTACGGGTCTGGGGGGGTATTTTTACGATAGCGGTCCGGGGTCATGATCTTCCAACCTATTTTTAGCCTTGACCACCAGGAAGAATGTCGATGGCCAGAAGAGCACCTAAAACCTCAAGGTTTTCACGTGTCGGGCCCTGGGAGACACTCGTCCGACGCTGTTTCGACACTATTTCGACGCTCTTTTGACACTTTTCTGGGTGCTCGAAATTATTTCTGGGATGTGGTCCCTAAGTAGGACGGGAGCAACAGAAGTCTGGGGACGATTTCCGGACTATTTTTGATCCTTATTGGAGCATCCTTGGAGTATTCTAGATTCTTCGCCCCAAATCCCCCTGCAGGGGAACAGGCCCGACCTGACCCAAGAGACTGGGGTCAGCGCAAACGGGGGTCAGCCAGAGCGCCGGGTCTTGCAGGGTCCTGAAGAGCCAGGGGCGCACTGACCCGGGCTCGGGTGCAGGATTCAAGGGAGGAAAAACCACCCAGACCGGACAATTGGCGTTTACTAAACGGCCCTGGGCGTTTATTAAACAGCCTTGCCCTGTTTGATTCCTTCTTTGGACGCGTTTGCTAAACGGCTTCGCGTGTCGGGGTGGTTACTGTCGGGGTGGATTTTCTGCCCGCCCAGGTTCGAATTGACCCGGGGCAGAAGATTCCCGACCGAAAACCACCAGGGTCATGGGCTCAAGGGGGGGGGGGGGGCATGGACCCCCAATCGCCCATTCGTCAGAGGAGGAAACGGTACCCATACCGCTACCCTTCTTCCGGTTCCCCCTTTTCAGGCCTTTGGCAGGCCCTCGTCGCCACCGCTGGATCCGCCTCGAAATCCTGGTTGGGACGCAGCCCAGGAGAGGTCCGGTTTCGCGATCGGTGGCCTACCGCCGATCGAGCGGCGATGTGTCGCCGATGCCAGGCTGACGTTCCCCCCCCCCCCTGAGCCCGTCCTCCCCTCGGGGAGGGAGGGAGGAGGCGGGAAGAGAGAGAGAGAGAGAGAGAACGGCAGAAAGAGGAACTCTCTCTCCACTCCTTCCCTTGCCTTCCCTTGCCTTCCCTTGCCTTCCTAGCCCTCTCCCTCGTCCTCCTCCCTCCCGTTCCTCAACCTCCCTGCATGTTCCCTCACACCTCCTCAGCGGTTCGTTCCAAACCCATCCTCTCGCTGTCCGTTCCCGACCCTCCTCAGCAACCAGGGGACAGGCGCGGGCACCTAGGATCAAGCCGGGCATGTCCCCCTACAGGAGGAATGTTCTTAAATAGCCAAATTATCCTGTGACGTACCTAACCCATTAGCATCAAGTGGCAAGAGGAGTTGGCCCAAATTTGCCAGGCCAATGACAGTGCATGCGACGTTATATGTTGTGCAAGCGACATGGGATGCGGGAACGTGGCGCGATTCACAGGACAACAAAAGAGGGACGAGGAACGAGCGCCCAGGCTTGAGGAGGACGGAGGGGCGGGAACGAAGGGCAGGACAAGGACGCGTGGGAGGCCGACCCGTCAGCGCGGCAGCAACAGAGGGAATGTGGCAGGGGGCAGAGGACGACGACGAAATTGACGGGAGGAGACCGAAGAGTGTTGCCTTTGTCGGTATTGCGCCAGAGATGCAGCGCTGCCTGCGCCTTGTCGCCGCGGCGCTCGACAAAATGATTAAAGCTGCTGATAATTAGTCCACGAAGCGAGCGAAGTCTAGCTCGCACACCAGCTTTCTTGCTTGCTTCCCGCTCTCTTCAGTGCGGGAGCTAAACGCTCGAAGGCGCGCCGCCAGGTTTGCGGGCGCGACGGCGCCCCGCTGGATCCCCCTGCAGCCCTCGAAAATGGTGACGGTTTCGCAGATCGCAGCCCCCCAGGGATGGCGAGGTCTAATCTGAGTCTGGCTGGTGCCTTGCGCCACGGGACCCCCCAGCAGACCTCGATGGCGACAGTTTCGCATATCTCAAACCCCAGGGATGGCGAGGTTTAGTCTGAGTCTGGGTGGTGCCTCGCTCCGCTGAACCCCCCAGCAGCCTCCGAAAGTGGTGACATGCTCGCAGATCGCAGCCCCCCAAGGATGGCGAGGTCCAATCAGAATCTGGGTGGTGCTTCACTCCGTTGGACCCCCCATCCGCCTTCCAAAATGGCGACATTTTCGCATATTGCAGCCCCCAAGGGATGGCGAAGTCTAATCTGATTCTGGGTGGTGCTGCGAACCTGCGGAGAAGGGATGGGGCCGGGTGTGAGGGGTGGTCGAGGCAATGCTCGCGATGCCGGGCGACAGGAGGAGGAGGAGGAGGAGGAGAAGGAGGAGGAGGAGAAGGAGGAGGAGGATGACGAGGAGGAGGAGGAGGAAACCTCCCGAGGGCCTCCAGGAACCTTCCGAGACATCCAGCTCTAAAGGGTTCAGACGACGTCGGTGGTCGTTGCCGTGGTCGTCGCCGGCGCAGCGTGAGACTTCTCTGGGGGGCGGCCGGGTTGCGCAGGCTGTGGATGTTCGGGGGCAGGATCTTCCAGGCGCGCTTTTCTTGCCCCAGTTCTTGCGGCTTCTTCTGCCAGCCTGGTTCTGCCGAGTACTCACCCTCCCTCTCGGTATTGCTGGTCTGCGCGGCAGCTTTCTTTCTTGCCTCCCGTCCCAACGTCTGAGCCGTGGTGGTCGTCATTCTATTCGCTGCATCTCCACGCTGTTCTCAGATTCATCGTCGTGTTCGATCTTGTCCAGTGGCGACTATCATCTGATGTCTCCTCGCGGACGTTGTCTATATGTTGTCTCCTCCTTCTTCCCCTCCTCCCGTCCATTCTTTCGCCTGACCCTTGCCCCCCTCGAGTTACACATGCAATTCAAGGATCAAGGTCTGACTGGACGTCTGGAATGGCGACTAGAACCACATCGAGCACAATGGAAAGAGATGGGAGGGAGGGGCAGGATGTCAGACTTGGCTCGAGCGCACAGCTTGCCCCTCCCGCTCTCCATTTTCCCCCTTCCCCTCCCTCGTGATCAAGGTTATCCAGGACAGCCGGCGGATAGAACATGATTCGGTGCAGTAAGAAGAGATGGGTGGGAGGAGTAGAAAGGTCAGACATGGCGCGAGTGCAGCTAGCTTGCTCCACCCCCCTTTCCCCTGCTGCTGCTGCTGCTGCTGCTGCTGCTGCGCACACGCTATCGGACCGGATCCGCAGCGTTCGAACGAACTACATACTACCGACACACTATGGCTGCTGCGGCAGCATCGATACTTTGACATTCTTCGATTTTGCAATCATCTCCTGGAGTGCATGCCGTGACGTGCGGGCCGTCGGCTTAGCTGACCGACCTGTCCCGCCTGCACCGTCCAACGTGCCACAGGTGCAGTGTCTGGTAGAGTGGCCTGGCGCCAGCAGCAAGGTCGCTCAGAGGCAGAGTGCGCGCCCCTCGCCCCTTGCCTCGTCCCTTCTCCCCGCCCTCCTGCTGCCACCGCCGCCCTCCTGCTTGTGCGGCTGCGGACTCGGATCGCTCGGGAACTCGGCCGTGGCACGCCAGACTGTTTCCCTCCTCTTCTAGGGGTGGGGGGTCTGAACGAGGAGGCGGGAGGAGGAGGGGAGGAAACGAGGCGAGAGGGCTGAATAGGGGAGAAAGGGGGGGGCAGTGGAGGAGGAGCAGGGGTAGCATGAGGAGCAGGTGGAGAGGCGGGGAAACGGGAGGCAGAAAAAACATGGGAGCGGGAAGATAGACGAGGAGACATACGAGGAGGCATAGGAGGAGAGGGAGGAGGAGGAGGAGGAGGAGGAGGAGGAGGAGGAGGAGGAGGAGGAGGCGGCGGTGCAGGAAGAGAATGAGGAGCAGGAGGAGGAGGAGGAGGAGGAGGGAGGAGGAGAGGAGGAGGAGGAGGAGGAGGAGGAGGAGGAGGAGGAAGGAGGAGGAGGAACAGTCTTGGACCTGATATGTACCCGTCGCAGCTGGAATGCGCGCCCTCGGGAAGTCCCGCAGGGTGTCCGCGCAGCCGGCGTCCAGGCAGGCGGCCCTCCAGCCGTGCGAGCCTCAGCAGGCGGAGGGGGCTGCGGGCCCCCGGGTGCTCCACGGCGCCCACGCCACGCAGCTCCGGGGCCGCCGCGCGTCGCAGCGCCACGCCGACGGGGCTCCGCGAGGGAGGGCCGCGAAGCGCGGCGGCCGCGAGATCGGGCCAGGTTCAAGTCGGGCCTGTCCCTCGGCAGGAGGACTGGTCAAAGATAGTCAAAGCATGGTCAGGGGTCGATGTGTCTTGCTTTTTTTGGGCTGTTCTCAAGTTTTTTGTTGTTGGTTTGCTTGATATCCTTCTTCCAAAGTCCGCCTGCAGGAGGACATCCCCGACCTGAGGCCAGATCACCCTCCGCCGCAAAAGGGGCCTCCTCGCGGCCGCGCCTCCGAGTCTTCCCCCGCCGGCACAGCGGCGGTCTGCCCAGCGCGCGCGGGAGACCCGTTCCGAGGCGGGGAGTTATCCACAACCACCGCCTGGAGGCTCGAGCTTCGGGGGCCGTGGCGGGCGGTGGATGTGGATCGTATGTATGTCTGTCTGTTTGTCTGTCTGTCTGTCTGTATGTATGCATACATGCATGTATGTCTGTCTGTATGTCTGTCTGTCTGTCTGTCTGCTGTCTGTCTGTCTGTCTGTCTGTATGTATGCATGCATGTATGTATGCATGCATGCATGCATGCATGCATGTATGTATCTATTTTTGTATGTATACATGTATAGATATAGCTATATGTATATTCGGGCCCATGGAGGGGACAAATGCATCCATCTTTATGTTGGGGGGTGGACAGAGCCCCCACCCTGACGCGTCGCTTGGTGAATCGTCCGTTTTTGGTGCTCGAGAGGGCGCCGCGGCCGCACTTCTTCAGGCCTGCGCCGGCCAGGCTTGGGCCCGAGGCCGTTGTCACGGAACCGCCTTTCGCCCAGAGAGGTGCTGTCCACCCCCGCTTTCACCACCCGCCGAGACCCCCGAAGCTCGCTCCCCTCGGCGGCGGTTCTGGAACTGGTCCCTGCCCTGCAGCTGGGGGGGGCGAGCCCGTCCATTCCGCCCCAACCAGTTCCCTCAACGACACCCCAGCCATCGTAGGGAAGCTCCTAGGTCCGGAATGAGACCAAGACAAACACGGGAGCAAATTGCAACCAGGGACACGGAAGTGGCCACCTCTAAACACCTCGAACATTGCCAGCGGATTCCGGCTGTCACGAAAGCGTGAAATGAGGTCGAGATCGCCTGGGCACGACGAGAAAAGCGAAGCCTCGACGTCGAAGAGGACCCGCGCCGAGGGGGCGCGCCGAGTCGGGCGCGCTGAGGGAGCGCCCGCCCAGGCGAGTCGGCCGAGGGACTCTGCGCGGGCTCCCTCGGCATCGGCAAACGAGGAGGAGGAGGGGGAGGAGGAGGAGGAGGAGGAGGAGGAGGGGGAGGAGGAGGAGGAGGAGGGAAGAGGAAAGTCCAGAAGACATGGGAACATATGGGGGGATCCTTGGCTTTCTGTCTGTCTATTTGCATGTCCCTGGACCTCACGCACGAACGCAAGCTTTCGGAGCTCCGCGCTGCCCATGGCGGGCTCCGCGCGCCAGGGAGTAGGGCCAATGCCGATCCAAGAAAGCAGCTCGGAGCTCCGAAAGCTTCTGTTTATGCAGTTTGTTCAAGGGGCGTCGAACAATGGCCGCACGGACGCGCTCGTTTACTCATGCGAGCACGAACGAGGGTAGGAGCGCGTGCGATCGTCTGTTTACGCCCTCGCTCTCGCGCACGCGTGCACGCGCGCTTGTAGGCATGCCCAGCACGCCAGCAGGAGTGCAGGAGCACCGCTCTGCTTTTGCTCGCACGCCCATCATGTCTGAGTCTCCTGGGCGGCCGCGGGAGACAGAAAAAGAGAGAAAGAGAGAGAGAGAGAGCCGCCGCAGCGCATCCAGCCCTACCTGCCCAACGTCAGCCCGACGCAGTGGGGGCCTCGGCACAGGGGTCCGCGAGCGTTTGCATGCAGCGATGAACGAACAATGACATAAACATAAAAGCTCGAAGGTCAGCGCGGATTTCTCGGATCGGCGCTCGACACCCCTCCCTGGCCCGCGGAGCTCGCCAGGGGCGGCGCCGGAGGCGCCGCCAGGGGGCCCCAGCGCCGATCCAAGAGATCCGTGCGGACCTCAGAATTTTTATGTTTATGTCATTTTTCGTTCCCCTTGCTTTCAGCGGTTGTTCCCCCTGTTCAGCAGACCTGGTTTGGAAGGGATTGGCCGTCTCGGCTTCGGTGCGTGTCGTGCGTGCAACGTGCGTGCGGCCGAGGCGAAGCGCTGCGCGAGAGTTCTTGCAGTGGCCAGGCCCGGGTCGCGCTCGGAGACGCTTCCCCGCTCGTCGCGGGGCCTGCCCGGGGGTTGTCCCGCAGTGGTGTCGTGGTGGCCCCGTGGTTGTCCCATGGCTGTCCCGTGGTTGGTCTTGCGGGTTGTCCCCATGTGGATCTCCCGATGATTGTCTCAGTCTTCCGTTGTTGTACCGTGTTGAACCCGTGTTTTAATTCGTTACAGCGGTACCTCCTTGAGTTAGCTCTTTCTGCCAGCGCAGGCGACCCCTGCCTAGCCGCCGACGCAAAAGTTTGTCCCGTGTTTGTCCCGTTTGTGTCCAGATGGTTAATCCGACGGTTGTCCCAATGGTTGTCCCGATGGTTGTTGCGATAGTTGTCCTGATGGTTGTCCCGGTGTTTGTCCCGATGGCTGTTCAGATCGTTATTCCGATGGTTGTCCCGATGGTTGTCCTGATGGTTGTCCGATGGTTCTCCCGAGGTTTGTCCCGACAGTCGTCCCGACTGTTGTCCCGATGGTTGTCCTGGTGATTGTTACGATGGTTGGCTCGATGGGTATACCGATGGTTATCTCGTGCGTGTTCCGTAGTTATTTCGTGGTTGACCCGTGTTTGTCCCATGGTTGTTCCGTGGTTGTCCAGCGGCTGTCTCGTGGTTGTTCCGCGATTGTCCCGCTGTTGTTCCACGGTTGCTCCGTGGTTGTCCCGCGGGTGTACCGACTCTTCCTCCTCCTCCTCCTCCTCATCATCATCCCCCTCCTCCTCATCCCCCTCCTCATCCCCCCACGGCGGAGTAGGGGAGTACGTGGATCCAGCCGAGACCTCGCAGCTCCCTGGGCTCTTCGGAGACACGGCCAGTGAGCTCGCTCGACGTGTCCTTGCTACAGGTGAGCGACGCGACAAAAACGGGTTCGTCTCCACCGACATTGACGCGTAAGCTGCCCGCGTGAGGTCGCGCGTAAGCTCCGTCGTTTCCACTGTAGCGTGCCGCTCTGGCGGCCCGCGTAAGCCGCCGCTTAAGGTCGCTGCGTCGTCGCGCGCAAGACCCGTTTCTTTTCGTCGCTCAGGTGGAGTGCGCGCTGCGGGAACCGCCGCGCGCCACTGGCAGTCTGCCGACGCGCAGGAGGCCCTGGCGCAGTTCGCGTGCGATGCTTGTGCGCCACGCGCTGGTCTGGCGAATCGAGCAGCTGCTTTGTGGACTAGTTCCGGCGGCGAGCGAGGGAGGGAAGTGAGAAGGAGAAGGCCTTCTCAGAAGGTGGCGGGGCTTCTCAGAAGGCCTCGGGCCTCCTGAGAGGTTGTCTGTGTCTTCGGGGAAGACATAGACAACTTCTCAGAATGCCGGGGGACTTCCGAGCCTTCTGAGAAGGCCCGCCCTTTCTCATTCTCCCCCCCGGGCTCGCCGTCGATGGTTGACTCCTCCCTCGCCGTCCTCCCCTCTGCTGGTTTGTGTCGTCGTCGCCTGCCGTCTGCGACTTCGAATTGCAGAGCCGGTGTCCTGTGGAGTGTCCCTCACGGTGGAACTCGCCTTGCCGCTCTTCGCCCATGGCCAGCTTTGACTCGGGGGAGCGTAAGACCCGGGTTTGCCAGGACTCGGGTTCGCCATCGTTTTCTGACGACCGCGACTCGGATTTTGACGAGGAGGAGTTCTGTGGGAGGTCTGCAGCGGGAGGCCTCGTCAAAATGCAGGCTCGGCCTCGTCATTTTCTTGACGACCTCGTCGGGGATGTCCGAGTCCCTTGTACCCGGGTCTTACGTCGCAGATCCAGGGAGAAAATGTGCGGGCCGCCTGGGGCGCTCCAGAAGCCCTGAGATCGGGGCATTGCTTTTTGTTTGCAACCGGTGGTTTCGCCCGGCTTCGAGCTCTGGACCATCACAGATCGATCTGGCAGGTCTTACGTCCCCCCGATGGACGCTTGGAGCCGAGAGGTATTCTTGGCGGGGTTTCGTGGCCATGACCGGCGGCCCGTGGTCGCCATGTCTCGGCGGAGAGTCTGCATACCACGTGCGGGTGAATCTTTCGTGTCCTCTCCTCCTCCTGCTGTCCGCTGCTCCTCCTCGTCCGCTGCGTCCGAGGTGTGCTTATGAGAAGCTGGCAGACTTGTCGGAGATGCCCCACACAACGCGTTTGTCGTGTCCCCCCTCTCTCCTCCCTCTCCTCTTCCTCTTCCCCTTGCGTCCTCTGGGGCCAGCGAGTTTTACTTGCGACTCACGGTGCTTAGGCACGCGCTATAAATCCCATGTTTTGGCCGCATGCGCGGGACAGTCTTGCTATGTTGCCGCGGCCACGTCCGTTCAGTCTGTCTCTATTGGCCAAGGCCTCGCGTGTTGGCTCGCGCATTGCAGGTTGGACCTCAGGTGATTCCAAGTTTGCCTAGTGCACGTGGTCGGGCACCACTGGAGTGTGTGTGTGTGTGTGTGTTTCCTTCTCCTTCCGGGTCTTCGCCGTCGGTCCCTGTCCAAGGCGTACCTTTTCCTGCACATCCTCTTCGGCACCGCCTGCTCCCCGGGCCCCGCCCGCTCCGGCCGCCTGAGGCCCCGCCTTCCTGTGCCCTGTCTCCCTAGTTAAAGCTGTGCTTCGCCCGCCTAGCTTTTAGCGGAAGAGGTTCGCTCTCGCCTTGCAGATCAAAAAAGTGTGTGTGTGTGTGTGTGTGTGTGTTGGGGGACGGGGGGACATCTCCAAATAAAAGGCCCGTCCGCCTCCCCGGCGGCCCCGTTCCCGCCCGTCGCCGCCGCCCCTTTGCGCCCCTCCTGGCGTTGCACTGCATTGATTTGCGTTGCGGTGCACTGCTTCGCATCCCATTGCGCATTTTTGCGTTGTTCTGCGCTGTGTTGCACTGCTTTTTACATTGCATTGCACGGCCCTGCATCGCATTGCGTTGCTTTATGCGTTTCGTTGCATTGCATTGTGGTGCTTTGCTTTGCTCTACATAGCTTTGCATTGACTTGCTTCGCGTTGCATTGCATTGCATTGCGTTGCATGGCGTTGCATGGCGTTGCTTTGCTTTACATTGCGTTGCATTACTTCGCATTGCTTTGCACGTCTTTGCATGGATTTGCATTGCTTTGCACTGCTTTGCAGTGCGTTCTTTTGCCTTCATTGCTTCACATACCTTTTCATAGCTTTCCATGACTTTGCATTGCTTCCATCGCTTTGCAATGCTTTCCATGGCTTTGCATTGCTTTGCAATACTTTGTATCCATTTGAATGACTTCACAGTGCGTTGCATTGCTATGCACGGCCTTCTACTGCGTTACATTGCTTTGCATTGTGTTGCATCTTGTTATGCTGCGTTGCATTGCGTTGCATTACTTTGCGTTGTGTCGCTTTGCGTTGCATAGCTTTGCATGGCTTTGCATTGCGTTGCATTGCTTTGCATTGCTTTGCATGGCTTCGCATTGCGTTGCCTTGCTTTGCGTTGCGTTGCCTTTCTTTGTATCGCCCTGCAGTGCTCTTCGTTGTATAAAATGCCACATAGCTTGCACCACATGGAATGCACCACCTTACTGCGTTACATCAATTGCACCATACTGGTTGCTGCCATGCAGAGACTGCAAGAAGTCGCTGTTTCGGGTCCATGACGGCTAATATTCATATGCGCACTGATATGCATATGCATGTATGTGTACACGCATACATATATACACATGACTTCGATAGTTCGTGATCTATTTTCAGATCGATCAGTCGACAGAGACATGCATATTTTTATATACACATGCATATGTGTGTACATACACATACAGATGCACTGCGAATCCGATCTGGAGCCAATCGCACCCCGAAGCATGCACCCATCCCCCCCAACCTCCTCATCACCCGAAGGGTTGCGACTCGGGGGGGGGGGCATGGAAGGCCGTCGCGTGTGCTCCCGGGACATCCAGAGCACGTGACACACTCTTCCGCGCCGTCTCGGGGGTTCTCTTCTCGTCTTCGTCGCCTTCCTCCACTTCGTCCGTTCTTTCTTGCTCTCCCGTGGGGCAGTCTTGGCGGTCCCTTGGGCAACTCTATGAAGTCTTGGGGCCCTCTTGGGCCGTTTTGGAGCTCTCCTGGGGCCGTCTCGGGGCCCTCGTGGGTGTCTGGAGGGCCTCTTGCGCCCGTCGTGGAGCTGTGTTGAGGCCCTCTTCGGCCGTCAGGAGGCCCTCTGACGCGGTCTTGGGCCTCCGGCTCTCTGGGTCCACGTTGCCCGGAGGACGCCAGCCCATTCTTGGAGCAGCCTCTCTTACTTTCTGCTGTCCAGTTCTCCGTGTCCTCCCCCTCTTCCTCCTCCTCCTCCTTTTCCTGCTCCTCCTCCTCCTCCTCCTCCTCCCTGGAAGCTCCCTGGAAGCTGGAATCTCGCGGTGCGAACCTCAGTGGCCCGAGTGGCCCAGTTGACGCGTCTCATTTCCTCCGGTCCGGCGCGCTTTCACGGCGGTGAACAAAATCAACCCGGCGCGGCCCCAATTAGAGGAAAGTTTGCTTTTGCACGGGCGCATTGCTTGGCACTGCTTGGTAGTGCTTCACGCTGCTTCGCATTGCATTGCATTGCATTGCATTGCATTGCTTTGCATTGCATTGCATTGCATTGCATTGCATTGCATTGCATTGCATTGCATTGCATTGCATTGCATTGCATTGCATTGCATTGCATTGCATTGCATCGCATTGCATGGCATGGCATGGCATGGCATGGCATGGCATTGCATCGCATTGCATTGCATTGCATTGCATTGCATCGCATTGCATCGCATCGCATTGCATTGCTTTGCATTGCTTGGCTTTTCTTGGCATTGCTTGGCATTGCATTGCTTTGCATTGCTTGGCTTTGCTTGGCATTGCGTGGCATTGCTTGGCGTTGCTTGGCGTTAACTGGCACAGCTTGGTATTGCTTGGCGTCAACTGGCACAGCTTGGCATTGTGTGGCATGTCTTTGCATGTCTGCGTGTCCCCGAGGAACCTGCGAGGAGCGGGCAACGTAACAACAGGAGGCACCGGGAGCGGGGAGCCCGAGGAACCCGGGGAACCTGGGGAACCTCCGGGAAACGGGCAACGTAACGACAGGAGGCACCAGGGGCGGTGCGCCCGAGGAGCCCGAGGACCCTCCGAGCAACGGGCAAAGCAGCAACAGGAGGCACAAGCCTCTAGCCGAGTAAGACCCCCTCATGCAAGCCTACTGGGGGAACGTTGGCACCCCAAGCCGTGTTGGCAGAGGTGAACGAATGGCGGAGGCTGCATGCGCGGCATAGCTACCTTGGAGCTCGAGCTGCGTCTTCCGGCGCAGCGGCCGATCCCCGCACGCGAGAGAGGACGGTGCCGCGAAGCAAGGGGGAGTGGGAGGATTGGCATCGGGGACCGGGGAATGATCGGCCTGATGCTGGAGGACTCCTCTCTCCCCCCCCCTCCTCTTCCCTATTTCCCCTCCCTCCCTCCCTCCCTCCCTCCTTTCCTCTCTATCTCCTTCTCCTTCTCCCTCCATCTCTTCTCTCTCTTTCTCCTTCTCCCTCTCCCTCCCTCCCTTCTCCCTCTTCTCTCCCCTCCCTCCTCCCCTCCCTATCTCCTTCTCTTCACTCTACTTCACTCTCTTCGTTCCGCTCCCCTCATCTGGTCGCGTGACAGGTCTCGACCTGGACCTAAACGGTGTTTTGACGGCAGCAGGGGCGGAGCGGAGTCAAAACGAGGGACGACGAAAGCAATACGACATCGAAAAACGATGCCACCTGATGCCGCAGGGCCACCTTTCTCGGCCACTGCATGGCGCTGCAGGGCGCGGTGGTCTACGCAGTGCCCCTCGAGTTCGTCGGCCTAGGCAGGCTACCTTTTTTTTTTGTCCGTGGACGCAGAATGGCTTTAGAGTACTTAGCCGCTCCCCTCTGTATGAGATCGGGAAGAACCCTCTGCAACACATACAACACAGTCAACGCGCGCGCACATGTCGAAATCACACCCAACACACCAGTTCAGCACGCATTTCAACATAACCACGTCAAAGACCCTTCGGCTTCTCTTCGAGCTTCTCGCAGATGCTCTGCCTGCGCGCACCTGATGACATTGAGAAAGCCCTACGATTTCAATAGTCTTGTCTGCAACCCGCATTCCCATCTGATCGTTTTCTTATTCATTGCTTTGCCGATCGGCGCGGGACCCCAACCTCCCCCTTCCCCCCCCATGGAGTAGATCTTGGCTGTTTTTTGACGCCTGTTTCAGGCAGGCGGAGCCTCTCCCACATGACGCACTGTTTGCAAACAGTCGCGCTGAGCAGAGGTCCGGAGGCAGACCCCCTCCCCCCCCTTTCGCTCAGTGTCGAAACGCCGAATTCCCCGTCGCCCCGCGCGGTGGCATCCGCGTCGATCTAGCCCGGGCCCAGTGCACGGTTCCGTATCAAATCACATCATGCGGGCCGCGCGCGCGCCGCCACGCGCGCGTGTGTCGACAGCCTTCCAACGCCACTGGTGCTCGGAGCATTTCAGAACAGGGCTAATCGAAGCGCGCGCGATGGCTCTAGCTAGGCTTGATGGGCCAACTCATGGAATCCAATTTTGGTCGTTTCTTGCAGCCAGGGACTTTCTTTGAGGCCTTGCGCAAGCCTCGGAATCGTATAGGGGAGCTGCGGAAACGCAGAAATCATTCATTCCCGTTCGGTATTCAAGGAATTCTAGACGCTTCGCGTATCCCCACCAGCCCGTCCAGAAACGACGCCCAGGCGAGTAGAGGGTCGTCCTGAGGGGCTTTTCGGCGTCTTGGGTGCCTCGGGGGGGCCTCTGTGGGCCGTTCGGGATCCTCTTTGGGGCCTCCTGGGGGCCTCTTGGGGCCTCTTGGGGCCATCTTGGGGCCTCTGGGAGCACCTTGGGTGCCTCTGGGGGGTCTCTTGGGGCCTCTTGGGGGTCTCTTGGGGGCCTCCTGGGGGCCTCTTGGGGGGCCTCTTGGGGCCATCTTGGGGCCATCCTGCGGCCTCTTGGGGCATCCTGGGGGCCTCTTGCGGCCATCGTGGAGGAAATCGATCAAATAAGAGGGGAGCCTTAATTAGCGTTGCCCCCTCAGAAGGCCAAAATGGAGCCCAAACCATAGTAAAATCAATGATTTTGGCTTCCTCGCCGAGGCCGTTTTGGACGCTCTGACCGCTCCCCGCCCCTCCTGTCCAGGTCAGTGGGGAGGGGGTAGGGGGAGGGGTAAACCCCTCCCCGAAGGGGAAGAAGGAGGGGTGGAAGAGGAAACGCTCTAAACCACCGACGCCCAGAGGGCTGTTGGGATTGGGTCCCTCAAAGACTTCCTGGGTTCTTTTGTGGGAGCTGAGGGTGGCCTTAATTGTGGTCTGTTGTGCAAGAGTAGACAGTGGGGGCGAACTTGAAGAAAAGGGGAGTTGTGGGATCCCCCTTATTTTTCAAGTTGCCGTGCCTTGGCTGTGGGTTAGACTTTTTCTGTATGCAGGCCACGGTTTGTTGGGAGGCCTCTCGTGGTCGTCGTGTAAAAAATAGGCATGGGGTGAGTTTGGAACAAGGATTTCTAACACTTTTTTCAACTCATGGGATCATGGGATCTCGATGTCTACGGTGGTTTCAGGGGCAGCCACGAGGACGCGAAGACGATCCAAGAGAGTGCCAAGGCAGCGTTAGAGAGTTCAACAGCATTCCCGTAAAATCTGTGCATGTGACCCCGAAGTCTTGATGGGGCTTGAGGAAGAGGATAGGGAGTAGGAGTCCCAACTGGAAAAAATGAATCTCTGGACTTCCTTTTTTTTCAAGTTCCTCGGTCTGTGAGGTCTCTTGGAGGCTTTCTGGGAGCCTGGAGAGCCGACCGAAGGCTATTCTGGGTTGCTTGGGTCTTGGGCCGTTCTTTTACGTTCTGGAAGCTTCTTGGGGTGGTCTTGCGCTGTCCTTGGGCGTTTTGGAGATCCCCCGGCCGGATCGCGCGGTATCGAGAGCGTTCCGCAGATGTTCCGGGAAGGTGTGGGACCTCCGGGAGTGGGGGGGCGTTTCTCGGGCTCCGAGCGTTGGAAGCGGGAAAACGTGAGAAGGCGAAACACATCGAACAAACCAATGGAAATCAACGATTTTACCCTTTTCGGGCTCTCTCGGGACGGCTCTCGAAGCTCTCTTGGGCTGTTTTGGGGGCCTCGTCGAGTTTTTTGGGGGGGCCTTTCAGGGGTCTGGGGTGTGTTGGAGGCCTCTGGTGGGTCGGAGGTCTCAGGAGGCCTCCTGCTCCCGATCTTGGGCTCATCTTGGGCCTGTTCTGGGGTGGTCTGGAGCTGTCCTGGGCGCCTCTCCGGCAGTGTTGGGGCCTCCTTGGCCCGTCTTGGAGCCGTCTTGGGAGCCTCTTGGGCGGTCTTGGGGCGGTCTTGGGGGCCACTTCGGCCGTGTTGGAGCGTTGGAAGCATGAAATGGTCCACGAAGAAACAATGAGAATTTGACGATTTTAGGTTCTCCGGGCTCTCTCGGGAGGCCTCTCGGAGCTCTCTTGAGGTCTCTTGCAGGCCTCCTGGGAGCCTGGAGAGCCGCCCGAAAGCTATCCTGGCCTGGGTTGCTTGGGAGCGTCTCGGGGCGTTCTTTTACGTTCTGGGGGGTTCTTGGTGTCGTCTTGGGCTGTCCTTGGGCGTTTTGGGGGCTCCCGGGGAGGTCGGGAAGCGCGGTGCCAGGAGCGTAGTCCAGATGTCATCGAGGTGGAGGACGCCCCGGGAGGGGGCCCAGCCTATTTGTTTACGTAGCACCCCGCAGATGCGGACAAGAGTGAGGGGGCGGTGGGGACGTCGGTAGTTTGCGAGACTCTGGAGAAGCCCGCCGCAGGCGCCAAAGTTTCACACATTGTACAACGAGCCCGCCGCAGGCGTCGATTTTTTCGTTAGACCAATGTGGGTAGGTCGCGGGTGGGTCGCAAATGGGTCGCGGGTGGGTCGCGGGTGGGTCGCTGTTGGGTCGCGGGTGGGTCGCGGGTGTAGAGGGCAGAAAATCCACCCCATAATAATCACCCCGACAAGCGAAACCGTTTAGTAAACGCGCACAAGGAATGAATCGAATAGGGCAGGGCTGTTTAGTAAATGCCCAGGGCCTTTTAGTAAACGTCAATTGTCGGGTCCGGGTGGTTTCTCCTCCCTTAAGGGTGGATCGCGGGGGTGTGTCGCGGGTGGGTCGCGGGATGGGTCGCGGGTGTGTCGCGGATGGGTCGCGGGTGGGTCGCGGGGTGGGTCGCGGGTGGGTCGCGGGTTGGGTCGCGGGTGGGTCGCCAGTGGGTCGCGGGTGGGTCGCGGGGTGGGTCGCGGGTGGGTCGCGCGGGTCGGTCGCGGGTCGGTCGCGGGTCGTGTCGCGGGGTGGGTCGCGGGGTGGGTCGCGGGGTGGGTCGCGGGTTGGGTCGCGGGTGGGTCGCCAGTGGGTCGCGGGTGGGTCGCGGGGTGGGTCGCGGGTGGGTCGCGGGTTGGGTCGCGGGTCGGTCCCGGGTCGGTCGCGGGTCGTGTCGCGGGGTGGGTCGCGGGGTGGGTCGCGGGGTGGGTCGCGGGTGGGTCGCGGGTGGGACGACGACAACAAACAACAGCAACAGCAACAACAATAACAACAACAACGCAACAAACAGAATTCACACCACGAATTCTTTATTTTGCCACGCAACCAGGGACAATGAATGACCGTTCGACCCCGTCACTCTGATATATATATATATATATATACATGCGTGTCTGTATTTCTACATATATATATATTCATCTATTACACAGATGTCCTTCTCTCTTTTTTTTGTTTTTTGTTTTTTTGTTCTCTCTCTCTCTCTCTTTTCCCCTTTTTTTCTTGCTGTTTTTTGTCCCCCCTCTCTCTAGCTCCGATCCTGCAGATTGCTTTGGGGTCCGTGCATGTGCACTTCCGAGTACATGTGATCACGCATGGCGTTGGCCCGCGGCGTGCCTCCATGTCTATTTCTGCTTGCGCTTGTCAAGCGAACACGCACTGACTTATCGCTTGGCTGCCACGGCCGAATGGGTTTAGTATCTCGAGATGGGCGTATCTTGCCACATCAGAATCGGGCTGGGAAGCATGTCTGGTTGTGTCGTCGACGCTCCGTCAATTTCTGTGCGACTCTCGTGTGTAGAACTATTCTCAACATAGTCGTCTTCCTCGAGTTGTCTTGCTTGTAGTGCCCCTACCTTTATTGTAAACTCAATGATGGAGTCTCTTTCTGACAGGTGTCGCCAAGCGCATGGGCTACCTGGCATGGTCAGCTTTTCATTTGTTGCGATTGTCCCTCTCGCAACGCGTGTTACCATGGTCAGTGTTTGTTGGGCCATGGTCAGTGTTTGTTGGGCCGTGGGATTTGCGGCCGTCTGGAGGGGAGGGAGAGTGAAGAAGGGGAATGCTGAGAAAAAGAGACGGAGGAGTAGGAGACGGAGGAGAAGGAGGAAGGGGAGGAAGAGGAGCAGGAGGAGGAGGAGGAGGAGGGAGGGGGAGAAGGAGGAGGAGGGATGAAGAGGAGGAGGGAGCGCAGGATGATGATGATGCTGCTGATGATGATGCTGATGATGATGAAGATGATGCTGATGATGATGGTGATGATGATGCTGATGATGCTGCTGATGACGATGATGCTGATGGTGATGGTGATGGTGGTGTTGGTGGCGATGCTGAATTTTTTATGATGATGATGGTGATGGTGATGCTGATGATGATGACGATGATGCTGATGATGATGTTGGTGGTGATGGTAATGCTGATGACGATGACGATGATGCGCATCCTGATGAGAAGGATCCTGACACTGAGGATGAGGATGAACGCGATGATGAGGAGTATGAGGGTGAGGATGTTGATGCCGATGATACTGATGCTGATGAGGATGAGGGTGATGATTATGCGGACTTATGATGATGACGTCGATGACGACGATTATGATAATGATGCTGATGATGACGATGATGCTGCTGCTGATGATGCTGACGACGAGGATGATGACGTTGATGATGATGGTGATGCTGCTGGTGCGAATGATGGTGATGACGAGGGATGGCCACGATGCCGATTGTGGTGACGATTCTGATTATGCTGATGGTGATGGTGATGCTGCTGCTGATAATGATGATGCTGCTGATGACGTTGATGCTGTTGCTGATGCGGCTGACGATGATGTTGTCGATATATGGTGGTGATGATAGTGGCGACGACTTTTCTTTCGTACTGTGTGGAGGCTGTTGACGATGACGACGCTGATGACAATGATGCTGATGCTTCCAACGCTCATGATTATGATGATTGTGGTGGTGGTGGAATTGTTGGTGTCGATGATAAAAAACGATACTGACGATGCAGATGATGGTGCTGATGCTGATGATGACGAGTCTGATGATGATGATGATGATGCTACGATGATGATGATGATGATGATGATGATGATGATGATGATGATGATGATGACGATGGTGATGATCATGGTTTGTTGCCATGGATGATGATTGTGATGCGGCTGCTGATGATGAGGCCCATGTTGATGAGGATGATGATGATGCTGATCATGATTATGATGATGCTGATGATGCTGATGCTGATGCTGATGAGGATGTTGATGCTGCTGCTGATGGTGGGGAATTGTTCATGATGCTGATGAAAATGAGGAGGATGATGGTGGTGGTGGTGGTGGTGACAGCGACGACGGTGATGTCGATGATGATGATGCTGATGATGACGATGACGATGACGATGACGATGCTGCTGGTGATGATGATGATGATGATGACGATACTGATTTTGGTGATGATGTTGTAGATGACGCTCATGATATGATGCTGCTGATGATGCTGGTGCTTATGATGATGTTGGTGGTGATGCTGATGATGCTGCTGAGGATGGTGGTGGTAGTGATGATGTTGATGTTGATGTTGATGTTGATGCTGATGTTGATGTTGATGTTGATGTTGATGTTGTTGATGATGATGCTGATTATGTTGATGGTGGTGATGGTGATGATGGTGATTCTGATGATGCTGATGATGATGCTGATGCTGCTGCTGCTGATGACGATGATGATGTTGCCGATGATGATGATGCGGATGCTGATGATGATGATGATTATGATGATGATGATGATGATGATGATGATGATGATGATGATGATGATGATGATGATGATGATGATGAGTAGGAGGAGGAGGAACAGAGTACATAGCTGGAGGGATGACGACGATGAGGAGTAGGAGGAGCAGGGTTGCCTCATCCCCTCCACCTCCTCTTCATCCCCACTGCCCCTCTCCCCCATGTCACCTCCCCGCTCGGCCGCCCCGCGCGCCCCCCTCTTTGCGCCGCCACCTTCTGGGCAGAGACCTCTCTCTTTTTCTGTGCTCTTTCTTCGTTTCCTTCTTTCCTCCCATGCTCATCGCTGCGTTCCTCTTGTGCTGAGCCCTCCTTACGCCTGAGGTAGCGCCGTCTCCCCTAGGCATCGCAGCCAAGGCGAGGCTGTGGCTGACTTGCCTCCATGCGGAAGAACGCGCCTGGACCGCGGTGAAAAGATGATCGGCAGGACTCTTTCGCTCGGGCGTTCCAGGAAACTACGGCAGTCTGGGTGCTGCCCATGGGTACTTTTGTACAGTCGCGTCGAGAGTGCACTTAGATCTCCGAGAACAAATCACGGACAGCCAATCCGTTCCATTGGTCGCAACCTCTAGCGCGGAATCCATGCGCTAGAGCTTTCCTCAAACCTAGAGGCACGCAAATGTGAGCATTTTGCTCATCGCATCGTTGGCTCTGTGTGGCGCTCCTGACTTCAAACTTTCCCGCCCGGGGGGACTGCAAGTTCGGCATCTTGCGGATGAGGCCCTCAGACGATGCGCCACAGAATCATGCGTTTC